ACCAGCACGGATCAGCTCTAGGCATGACGAAGCGGATATCGTCCTCTTTTGGAAGGCCAACCAAAGTAGTTTCACTTTCACAACGAAACACACAGCACCTTCACGCCATGGCAGCGGCGGCAACAACAAAACTACAGCGAAAATAAAAGTTACGCTTCTTTCTTTGCGTGAACATTTGGGCGGCGTTATGCAAATCTTCCCACATAGTGACGTAGATATGTGGGGGCATGTTAGAACGAGCCGTTTTAGGTAGGTGTGGCTGACTCTTAACTTTTATAAAGAATATCTCTTTTGATTTGAGACTTTAGTCTTTGCAACTTTACAGATCTTCTTTATGCACCAAGAGCTTGTAACAATCCAAAGAGAAAGGAAAAATTGAAATCGCATCATATGACCCCTTTAATGGGAATGATTAAAAAAAGAAAATTTGGAAAATATAGATTTTTTTAGCATTATAAAATTATTTTGTGATATGTATTTAACATAACTTATATTTTCATATTTTTTACCTTTACTTCAAATTCTTAGAGCAGTGCAGTAAATAATATTACACTATAACTTTAATGTAAATAAATATGTAATGTGTTTGTCATACTGCCTTTTTTATTTTATTTTATGTTTTATTAATGTTTTACTTTAATGACAATAACCATTGAAAATAATGGGAATGACAAAAAAGGAAGTTTGCATAAAGAAAATGAAGCCCATTTTAGGAACATATTGAATTTTTAGCACTGAAATATTATTTTGTGATATGTGATTAATATTAATATATATATTAATATATGTTATTAATACTCTTACAGCAGTGCAATAAATATTATTATTTATAAATAAATAAAACCTTTTCTACAAAAATATATGAAGTGTCACAGCATTACAAATATTTCAAATAAATAAATAAAAAAAATTACAAGAAAAATATAAATATTGGCCTTTTCGACACCGATTATGCGAGCAAAACAGGCAAAGAAATGTGAATGTATGTGTAAAGCCTAAACATCTCAACAAGTCTCTCAGAAACCTGTGAAGAGTTAAACCTTGAACACATGTACAGTATAAAGGCCACCTGAATACAAAAAAAACATGATCCTTCAGAAATCATACTCTTTCCTTAAAGAACATCATAAAATAGATGAACAAAATAAAAAGATTATTTTTTTGTGTAAGAATATTGTTATTCAGTTTACAAACCCAGCTTCTATTGATGACTTACATTTCTTTCATGCTAACCTAACTCCCAAGGTCAAGTCCAACATTAGATTGTGCATTAAATTTGCCAATGAGCTATTCCCATACCACCGTGAGGTAATTGTTTTTATTTGCCATGGCAACAAAACCACATTAGACAACAAATAACCTGTAGGGTGGATCCTAGGGTGGGCTATACCACATGCCAGATACTCCCTTACAGTATCTGCCATCTAGCTGTAATGTTTAGCTCCAGCAGCCCGTGTGTCTCCAGTGATCTTAACAAGAAGCTCTTACTGACTGCAGCATAATAAAGCAAACAGTGTATGGCATGTTCTACTATATATGGCCATATGTGTGAACGCCTGCAAGAGCGAACAGCCAAATCTGTGCCAATGGTGATTACATTTGTATGGCATATGACTCTCGCTCACCATGTTAGCTGGTGTATGCTGCTACTTTTTGAGTTTACTGCACTGTGCACACATCTGGGGTGTGGTAGACTAGTGTCTACAGATCAAGATAGGTCAATCAAATAAAATAATTAAATTCACTACCATTCAAATGGTTGGTGTCAGTAAGATTTTTCATGTTTTTGAAATAAGTTTTTTTTTTTTTTTAAGTCCACCCTTCTTTAAGTTCACCCAGGCAAAAATACTGTTAAAAATAAAAAAAATAATACTGTTAAATTTTATTATAACTTAAATTAAATGTTTTCTATTTGAATCAGTGTTATTGTAGTGTATCAATGAGATACTATTATAGTTTTTATTATTATTTTGAAATACTCTTTCCATTTTCATTTTAGTTTTAATTAAAATGTCAGTAATTTTATTGTGAGTTATTGTGGATTTTAGTATTTTTCTTTTTATATGTCCGTATACTTTTTATTTTTCAATTTTTAATTTTTAATTTTTATTTCAGTTTTAGTTATTTTAGTACATCAAGGTATATATATTTTTAAATTCTATGTAAATTCAAATAAGAAATGTTGCCTTGTCAATAGTTGAAATAAGTTTATTTTATATTTTATTTCATTCCAGTTAAAATGTTTTTATGGTTTTCATTTTCATTTTAGTTTTAAATGATTTGAATATATTTTTTATTGAATATATTGCATTTTAATTGAATATTGAATATATATTTTAAATATATACTTTTAAAAAAATATTATTAAAAATAATTAATTATTTATTTATTTATTTGAGTGATGGCAAAGCTGAATTTCCAGCAGCATTACTCCAGTCTTCAGTGTCACATGATCACACATTGCATGTCTAATATGTTGATTTTCTCAAGAAACATTTCTGATTATCAATGTTGGAAACAGTTGTGCTGCTTAATATTTTTGTGGAAACATTGATATATATTTTTTAGGATTCTTTAATGAATAGAAAGTACAAAACATTTTATGGATCAAATTTAATGCATCCTTGCTGAATAAACTTTCTTTCTTTCTTTCAAAGAAAAAAATCTCACTGACCTCAAACTTTAACAGTAATGTATATAGAATAAAAAAATTATCTATCTATCTATCTATATGTATATATATATATATATATATATATATATATATATATATACAGCAGGTATTAATAAGTTGTTAATAAACATATTAAAGTCTTCACTGCATGCTTAGAGAAATCCAGACTGCTCTTAGAGAATCTGCAACATCTCACACTAACATAACTCTATAAAACAATGAAAAGATCCTAACATAATGTCATTATCCTGTCATTTCCCAGATACTGCAGAGTCATGTTCGGTATGACCACATCAAGCCTGTTGCTTTGACAGTATCGCAGACACACATGCAGATAATTGGACATTGAGCGGGGCCGTCGCCAGGAGCGCCATGGAAACAACATTAATGTTCTCCACAAATCTGAATCAGAAATATGAAGAGTGTTCTGGAGCTTTCAGAAGAGAAATGACAAGGTAAGCCTTGCCTTAAGATGATGCACTGCACAAAATCAGTCTTTTCCAACTAAATTTGCCTGTAATTCCATGCCTGATAAATGGTGACTGTGATATATTCACAACAGCCAAAAATATGAAATCAATCTTAAAACCCGATAACGTGCATCTGCAGTCCCTGGCAAGAAGGCCTGATAATAAGTGTGGTGAATTTCCAGCTGAGTGCAGACGGGATGTTTTGGGGAGTTTGAGCATTTGGGCCGTTTCGAGTGTTCTCACAGAGGCTTTAAAAGCAGAAAGCTGAGAGTTTGTTCCCTTCATGGTGGATCTGTATGGATAATGGATTCTCCTCAGCAGTGAAACCGTATTCCGTACACAACCTGAGCGAAATTCCTGGTGGACTGGGAGAGGCTTTTTTCTCCTCGTTGTTGTTTAGGGTTTGTGGCATCTCCCGGACTTGAAAGCCAAAATGAAACAATCCGAGCAACGCTATTTCCCCACACCCGCATTAAAACACACTTTCCACTACGGTCAGACACAATGCATGTTTATTTCGATGTGGGTAGCCATGGTGACGAGAGCAACAAAGCAAATACAGTGGGTACTCACAAGCCCCTCTTGACACGACTCATACCCTCACCCCGCCAAACACTCACAAGACCAGCGCTGACAACAAGAAACAAGCTGGTAACAGCGTAACCCGATTCATAAGAAAGACTTCACAATGGCCACAAAACAGTGGTCAATTTTCCTTATAGTGCTTAATCTTGTTCTGTACACACAGTTCAGTAATACACGGGAGTGACAGCCGCATTGTGCAACTGAACTGACTCACAAAAATTCAGGTATTGACAACTGCATTTACAGAAATTTTACGCAGTGTGTACGGAACCGAGCTGAAAAACGAAATGTTAATGACATATTTACATATGTATTAAGAGTTGTCTCTCTCTTCTGTGTGTGCGGTGCAAGAAATCACAGGGTACGTTTTGACACATTACTGTTGCCAGATCTTGCAAGAAAAAAAAACTAATAAGAGCAAGCCCATAATAAACTCAAATCTAAGCGTTATCCTGGAAATAAGCCAGATACCAAAAAATTGAGACCTGCACCTGTCTACTTTATTAACTCCATAAACTGGATTGCTTTATGGGACAAGTCCAAACCACAAGCCCAAAGACATTTAATAAGTGTCACTTATAATAAGTGGACATGGCAACCCTTCAAGAGCGTGCTCAGCGAAATAGCCTTCCAAACATAAAGAAAACACGACGGCTCTGTTGACAGTGATTTGGTTAAAATCTCCAAATGTAATGAGTCTTTGGTAACTGTAATAATACTTCAGTTAAAAATAGCAGATACTAACCGCGCGAGACACCCAAAATTCACTATGGTAACAACAGTGTCAGTTGTTACCATAGCATCACATAGTCATCACAATTTCGAGAGTGAGTTCTCTTCTGTACACACACAAAACAATCATTTAGAGGATTCACTCCCATATTTAAATGCGGTTGTCAATCCTGAATCTTTACAGTGTGTACAAGGCCAATGAGAAATATAGTGTGGCTGAGGCCCTGTCCACACAGCAGCAGAATACAGCTGTCAGTCTTGTTTTTGAGCCATTAATATGGTTGTGTTTACGTACATCTTAGTTATTTACAGGAAACCCAAACACTGATTGTGTGAACATAACCTTATATACTTATAATACCTGACAACAAACCACCTCAGATGACGTGCATTTACCTTCTCTCATTGTCATCCAGGTGGGCAAACAGCACGTTCTTAGAGATGGCTTTGGCCAGGGCGGTCATTGTCTTGTAGTCCTTTGGAATGACCTATAACCAAAGAAAACAATAAAATAGATGATCACTCATAAAACAAACAAATTATAAGGTTTTCCTAACATATAGAAATTTCTGCATATTTCCTCAATTATTTGTGAGCGTTGTGTTGTGAAAAATGTTCTGCAATGATGATCCTAGAGTGTTGTGGATGTTGCTAGCCAGTTGCTCATTTGATCTGAATCACACTAAATAAAAATATGAAAAATTACAAAAGCACATAAAAATTACTAAAGTTAAAATAAGTTAAACAATTTTTTTTAATGAAAACTGAAAATATAAAACAGCATAATAAATATAACTAAATGCTAATTAAAAATATTAATAACTATTGTAATTGTATATAAATAATACTAAAATAACATTCAACCTTATTTACATACTTTAAAATGTTCCTATTATTGTGCACAATTCATCAGTGCATGTTATTCTAAAAAGAAAAATATATCCATAGGATTTTCTGACTTTTCTTTTCTGCTAGAGGTACAGAAAAGGAAAACAATATTAAACGATAATAAAACAACCTAATCATCCAATCAAATCACACTGAATAAAATCCAGTCCTGCGTTACTTACTGCTCAATATTCTGTTTCACTCAGAAAAACCATATTATGGAAGTCAAATGTGATGTGAATGTCTATACTGAAAAAAACTATGTGAAATCAGAGCAGTGAATCTGGCCTATTACTGATGGGGCGACGGAGACAAATCCAAAACATCCTAAATAGCGTACTTGAAAATAATGCAAATTTAACTGCAGTTTTTTTCAGAACTACATTGGCTATATAATCCAAACTAACCTTTCTGACGTAGCTGACGGCATCCTCCTCTGTGTAGACCTCGGCGCTGACCCCACCTCTCCGGCGCCGGGCCTTCACCACCGGGTTTGGAGGAGGAGGAGACACTTCATCATCATGAGAGTCGGACTGAGAGTTGGACTTCTGACGGGCCATGATCTGCTTGCATTCTTCCTGTGGAGAGAGGAAGTGAATGACACGTATGATTAAACATCCGTTTGAAAACATCGAGAGGGTCGTGACCATCTGGATTTTCCTTCCCATCGCACAGGACACCCAAACATCTGTGCAGTGTGAAAACAGAGGACACTAAGAGGGTGAAGCTCCCATTACAAATCACGATTACAGATCATAAAATCTAAAAGACTGAAACCTACTGTGAGCACAGAAAGCAGACACAACAGCACTGAGATTTCACTGGCAGAGCCAGAGAGAGACAGTGAAAGATTCCCGTATGAAAGAGGGAAGAACAATAAAGCTGCATGCCACAGCACAAATGATGTGTGTGTGTGTGTGTGTGTCACAACAAGATGTGTACTAGTCATATGGGGTGGAGAGAAAAACACTGACCCCTAATCATATTCATTACATATGACAGATACAGTGTACACTGTATATATAGAACAACCAAATGTTTTAGTCATTTATTGTGAAAATGAATGTGAAAAATAAACTTATGGGGGGGGGGGGGTTTTAAGGAAAATATTTAATAACTAGTAATTTTCTTCTTTATTGTGAAAATGAATGTGCAAAATAAATTTAGTGGGGGAAAAAGTAACTGGCAGCTCTCATTCAAACAGACAGAGCTGATATTGACAGAAATATCACTGTATTACTATACTATATGCAATATTAAAGTCACAGCTAAATGTGACATTCATTATAGTGGGTTAATGTGAAGACTGTTATAAAATGTTCTGTAATAGTTTAGGCAAATTTAGGCAAAATTTTACTGTAAAGCTGAATGGCTATATTTACTCATTTTATCTGCAGAAAGAATAAAGTGACATTTTTGAGTGTCAACCCTTTTCTATCCTACATATATTAAAGTTATGCACCATGCTATAATTACAAGAGTCTGAGGGAAAAATAGGATGAAAAAAAAAACACGCCACTGAAGCGTATCTTCATTTCCAATTTATCCTTTTTGTTTAAACTTTTTTTTTCCCCAAATGTAGAGAATATAAATTAATGTTATTTATTTATTTATTATTATTTACATTTCACATATAATATATTTGGATATTATGCAACATTTATTTTCAACCCACAGTTCTCATTCAAGTTTGATTTGTGGTCCTTCATGGCAAAAATTTTGGCCACCTCTGCTCTATAGTATTCTGGCCCCTATAAATCTGATATCAGTCTGTTAATTCCACAATTAAACATTTTACAGCATTTAAAAGATAAAGTGTTTGTAAAATGGTCTCCCTCTAAAACATCCCAAGGCACAAATACCAAAGTGAAGGCAGTCAGATGCAAAGGAACAGCTGGGTACATGCCACACACACACACACAAATGCACACAAAACACACACATGCTCGCTCTCCAAAGCTTTAGACAGCCATCAACAGGCCTGTCCATGAAATAACACAGAAACAGTCCAAATGTACTCTGAAATCTGTGAAATCAGAAAACATATAAGACGATATGCCCATTAAGATCATTTCGCTCACCAATGCATCGATGCACATACTCAAACATAATATGAGAGCAAACCCACCACAAACACACAAAAAATTAGACTAGTGTCTATACAAACAATTCAAATATGAGGTTGTAATCATACACACTTTTATCAAATTAGGTTTGAACTTTAATGACACACAACCAAAAATGTTATTGTCACAAGTATTTGCAAAAGATACTGATTTATCATCAAATCTGAATTACAATTTTGGATTGGAGGCCACAAAAACTGTAAACTGGATTATTTATTTGTTTTAAAATATATATTTTTTTGTTCCATTATTGCAGTACAATTGCTGTTGTCACCTGTTCTGCTGTTGTTTACAGTTCTTTATTAAGATATTTATTTATTCATCAACAAATGCTTTGTGAATCACTTTGACTGAATCATTACAAAGAATCAGTTCTAATGAAAGAATCATTTCTAAATTTGACCTCCCTGCACAAAAGAACTTAATCCACATATGTATTTCTTACAAAAGCAATATGCTTAAATCTACATATGTAATCTGTTTGGGTCAATAAGATTTTTTTTAATGTATAATGTTTTTAAATGTTTTAATTTTTTATGCTCCCCAAGGCTGTATTTATTTGATTAAAAATACAATAAAACAGTAAAATTGTGAAATATTTTTACAAAAATCTAAATACCTGTGTTCTATTTACATATATTGTAAAATGTCATTTATTTCTGTGATCAAAGCTGAATTTTCAGCATCATTGCTCCAGTCTTCAGTGTCACATGATCCTTCAGAAATTGCATTATTTATTATTGATGTTGAAAACAGCTGTGCTGCTTCTTTTATTTTATTTTTTTGTGGAAACCATAATATTTTTTTTCCAGGATTCATTAATGAATAGAAAGTTCAAAAGCATTTATTTAAAATACAAATACAAATCTTTTGTAAAATTAGAAATGTATTTTGATCAATTTAATGTGCCCTTGCTAAATAAAAGTATTCATCTATTTAAAAAAAAAACTTAAATAATTAAAATAAAAAGTAAAAAGACCCAAACTTTTGAATGGTAGTGTATCTTTGGGCTAAAAGGGGCCATATTTATGGCTAACCTCCATATACTGGCATTAGTATGCAACTGGTACATGAACAAGAGTAGAGGTCGACCGATTGATCGGCTGACCGATTAATCGGCCGATTTTTGGCATTTTTAATTAATCGGCATCGGCCGATTGTGCTGCAAACTAGGCCGATTTATAGGCAGGCGCATCTGCGGGCATCTAAGCATTGTTGCGGAATGCCGGAGAATCTCTCTCTGGCTGCGGGAGACTGAGCAGCTCACATTCTGCAGCCGCTTCTTGTTCACACACAGATTCAGCTAATGATGGCAGGGCAAAACAGACCGTTTCGAAAGTATAATTACGCTTTACCCTACTAGAATTAATGCCAGAACTAGGGGTGTGCGATATATAATCGTCTGCGATAATATCGTAATTGTTGTTTTAACGATGTGCGATTTGACATTATCGAGTATTTTGCAAAAACCATTCAAAACATCCCTACAGAGCGTACGCATACATTACGTGAAGTCTAGACTAGTGCGTGTGCGCATTTAGTGCATTTTCTTTCTATTCTTCAGTCTATTAAAATGCATTTAGAATGATCACAAATTCAAGACATGATGGCAGAAAATTTATATATTTATACCACTTCATATAGTTATTCAATTTCACACGAAGAGTGCCGTTTTTCTCCAAAAATTACCATGATTATAAATGTGACATTGAATTCAATAAACAATAAGTTAATTAAGAGACTTACGGTTTAGACACCATATTGCTTGTTTTTGCTCTATTTCGCCAACAAAAATCATGCTGAATACAGCCACAGTGCCGTTTTGTGTCTCTGAGCAACATGACGGTGTTTCGTTCTTGAATGAATCAACCATTTAAATGATTTGGTTCAATCGCAATGACTCACTTATTAACAGTGATTTGCTGCCACCTGCTGGCGGTTTTAATTTCAAATTTCGGCTTTTTCTTTCTTTTTCTTTTTGATTTTTTTCATGTTTTAAATAATTTCAAATATCAGTATTCAACGTTTTATGTTTAATATATCAAAACATTATTTATGCATTTGTAATTGCAGGTTAAATGCACTCATGTCTCGCATTAAACAAAATACATGTGTGTGCAAATACATCTAAATGCCACTTCAGATGCAGCTTCTGTGTTGATTTAATTTGCTTGGTAATATTAAAAACATCAGGAGTCAGCTGTCTTCGGCAGTTCATAAGGTACCAGCATAATAACACACTCAGCAAAATATCGTCTAATTATCGTTATCGATAAAATCCCAGAAAATATCGAGATATAATTTTTTGTCAATATCGCACAACCCTAGCCGGAACGTTATCCTATGTGCAAGTCATTTGCATGTGAAAGTAGAAACCCAAAAAAATCGGCATCATATATCGGCATCGGCTGCCCTGATTTCTAAATATCGGCATCGGCCAGTGAAAAACCCATATTGGTCGACCTCTAAACAAGAGGACACGTTATTAGCTGATGCTAATCTCAAATAGGCCAAATATTGGCCTAGCTGACATGAAGATCTTTCACTAAGAATCTTGCATCCCTTAGTAACATCGGTAAATTTCTATTCCTCCTTAAAAATTTCTCCTCGTGTTGCCTTGTCCCTTGTGCCCTACATAAAGATTTTAATCCGGCACAGTTTTTATAGACACAACATTTAGAAAAGAGGACAACCACAGTGTTAAGGGTGTATATCATTTATCAGCCCGCGGATTTTCATCTTTCTAAATTAACAGAAAGTGCCAGACAGAGAGAATGTGTGAGCAATTAAACCCCATCTATGACTAAAACGCAAGTGGGTCAGTAAACATCATTCACCCAGCAGCTCAATGACACTAAATAACCCCAAAAACACAAGCTATCATCATGAGGAGAAGACAAGGACAGTCGCTCCCTTCTTGCAGACGTCTTGTGCTGCGTTCAGTATCAGCCCATCTGATCGCGTCTTATGAATACACAATCCCTTCGGCTGTTTGATGCTCTACCTAAACCAACAGTAGCTCAGCAGAAACGCATTCCTAACAAAAACTCGAGCCCAAAGCGTCTGCCAGTTTGAAAAGGCCTGTTGTTCCTGGAGCACATGATCAAAGATGTTTAGTTGCTGCTGAGTGTGGATGCAAATACTGGCACCTCCAGCTAAACGAATGACTGCTGTGACTTTCATACGGTCGGTACACAGAGTCTGAGATTGGGCAACAACATCAAAAAACACAGCATGCCTCCTAATTGTTTGCTGAGGGGGAACGGGAATGCTGATTATAGTACTGAACAACTGCAGCTCATTAAAGTTCCTCTTACATAAAGTACGCTACCGTCTCAGTGTTTTTTTTGTTTGTTTTTTTGAAAGAAATTAATACTTTTATTCAGTAAGGATGCAATAAATTTACTAAAAGTGGTGATAAAGATGTTACAAAATATAATGTTTTCGATTTAAAGAAGAATGCTGTCCTTTTGAACTTTCTAGAGAAACTTTTGTAGAAACTTTCACAGTTTCTGCTAAACATATTACGCAGCACAACTGTTTTCAACATTGATATTCAACACTGAAGGATTTCTGAGAGTAATGGCTGCTGAAAATTCAGCTTTACAATCTCAGGGATACATTACATGTTCAAATATATTCAAATGCAAAACAGTTATTTTAAATTGTAATAATATCTCAAAATATTACTGTTAAATACTTAAGAAAAAGACAAAAACAAAACAAAGACTTAAAGTATAAACAAACATTTTTACACGTCCTGAAGCAAATGTGAGTGTAAATTAGGGCTGCACAATTAATCGAATTTCTAATCGCGATTACAATTATGGATGCCACAATTACGTAATCGTTCAAAGAGGCAATTAATCGTTCAAAGTCCACTTATGTTATTCTGCACGCTTAAGATATGTTTTTTTCTTTCTACATGTTATCTTATGGGTTTTTCCATTGTTTTAGTTTTAGTATAACATTATAATACCGTTCATATTTTTACTTTTTTTATAATTTAAAGAAGAAACCAATCCGATGTATATTTGACATTTGAAGGCTTAATGCTATAGAAAAGCACTAAATGTTTTTCAGTTAGAGTGTAAAATACGGCATGCAGTTGCATCAAACAATAGTATAAACAACATCATTCAATGTAAATTGTGATAATCGTAATTAATAATCGCAATTACAATTTCAAGGGAATAATCGACAATTATGATTTTTGTCATAATCGTGCAGCCCTAGTGTAAATGAAACATTTTTGTTGCTAAAATGTTGAGGGTGGTTGCCAGGGCATTGCTATGGGGTAACTGGTTTTAAGTTGGTTGCTGGGTGGTTGCTATGGTGTTCTAGGTGTTTTGTTTAGTTGAATACTTTCTGACTCAAGTCGGAAGAGTCATAAGTACGATATTCTGTTTTGTTGTCCTCCAGGCGAAAATTGTTAGTCTGATCAATTATAAAAGTAACAGCACACCTCTCCTAAAAAAAAACTAAACATGATTTGAGGTATCATAACAGTAATACTTGCCTTAGCTAACACTACTAATTAGCTTATATTTCAACAGATATTGTGTTAATACATAATCAGTGAAATAGGACAAAGATGTTCTAAATACTTCTTGAACAGTAGTGTCATGTTTGGGCTATTATTCTATTATTCATATTCTACATCTGTGCAACATTTTCTTTTTTATTTATATGATTGTTTATATATGAATGTAGATAAATAATATCCTAACAGTAATACTTGCCTTAGCTCACACTACTAATTAGCCAAGATTTGAACAGATATTGTCTTAATAAATAAAGAATCAAAACATAATGAAACAGGACAATGGTGTACTAAGTACTTCTTAAAATGTTATTTAACCAACTATATTAAAAACAGGGAGAATACAGCAAAAAGTCATTTATTCTACATCAGTGTTTCTCAACCAGGGGGCCTCAAGAAGACTTAAGTTGATTTGAATTTGAATTCATTTTAAAAGTGTAATTTCTAGACCTGGGAAAGTCGTGAAAATATTTTTTTTAATCCTTAAAATGCCATGTAAAGAGTATACATTTTTGTATTTATGATAAGCTCTAAAGTATTTAATCAGGTAGAAATGGTGAGTAAACCATTTTTAATCCTTAAACCTTTGAATATTGTTATGGACAGTTCTCAAAAAGGTTGAGAATCACTGTAGATTCTACATGAATATAATGAGTTGCATGCTTGGTTGCTATGAAAGCCCTACTAAATCTATTTTAAAACTTGCAAACGAACTTTATAGATTGTTCACAGATCCTGATATAGTACATAAGTGTACCGTCTACTCATTTCACACGCTCTGCATCTGCACAAGAAACCGATCAAAGGAGCACTATGGAAACCAATGATTTCTCGTTCCAAAACCTGCAATTACTTCTATCTATCTATTGTGCTGCACTTGTCAATAATTAAGACACAAAAAGAACATCAACCTCACTGTGAGCACTAGCACAATGACAGTTAATGATCGTGGATGTTTGAAAGAAGGAGAAGACGTTCATTAACACTGTATCACAGTGCATTCAGCCAGACTTTTTTCCCAAAGCAACGTACGGTACATTAATTACAGGAACAATCCCCCGGGAGCATCCTGAGGTTAAGTGCCAGGCCAAATGGGACAGCAATGATCTCAATAACTCTCCAGCTCCGGCTTCTCCAGCTCCATGGAAATGAAGCGACATCCCAGATCCCTAACCATCACCCTTTTCCGATGCAAATGCACACCTTCTACAAACACAACCACCAGCAGAGCAAATACAGTAAGAGTAACGCACCTTCTCCAGCTTCTCAAAGTGTTCCCGCAGGAACTTCATAGGCCGCTCGGGCTTGGCAATGCACAGGTTGACGATGCACTCTTTGAGGATCTGCTGTATGTTGTGTTTCTGCACGAACACCTCGCAGCCTTTCAGACTTTCATCTTCTTCCAGATTGGAGGAGGAGGTGGCCATCTTATCTTCTATCACTGCTGCAGGAGAAACGAGCAAAGGAGGGGGGTTTGAGGAGAGATATTCTTTCTTTAAGTCTGTGTGGCTTAAATAATAAGCTTGCCTGCTGACTGACTAATGAAATCCACAATATGCATCTATGCACTGTCAATACAAATACACAAACACAGTGCCTAGATAGATAAACATTGACATTATGACTAAATCACAGGCCATTCTTCTCTATGTTACACATTTACATTTCACTTCCGCCATTGATTCACATCAACCATCCAAAAACCACCGGCAACTGAAGCTTTAATCTGCAATTTCGACCTGTGCGTTCACGAAACCGATACCGCATTCAGTCGTGCGTTAAAAACGAAGCGGCGGAGCGCTCGAGCATCCCTCCGTGATCACCTGTTTAGGCTTTTATCGCAGCTTATTCGCTTCTAAACACAAACCTATGCGGTGAATAATTGGTTTTAGTCATTAATTATCTTGAAACCCGCATCTGTGGGTATATCAAGCTAAAAACCATGGTGTGTGTCACAGTGTTTGGTGTTAATTTGTCTTACCGTTCTGAGGCGGAGATGCGAGGCTCGCGCTCCGGATGCTGCTTGTTTGGTCCTGCTGTGTGACGTCAGTCCGCCTCCCGATTGGACGCTGACATTAGTGCTCTTCAATAAAGTACGTAATTTAAAATATCAAGTCATATAACTGTTCCGTACGATGTTGTGCTTGGTGACTGAACACATTTATTGCAGAGATGTCTGTGCTTGTGTCAAAAAAAATTCTTCTTCCAAGAAAATCTTCCAATGAGCAGCTATGGAACATAAAAAATGCATGATTAGGAAATAATAAGCAGACTTTTCTTACATTATTCATGTGATTATTCAAACTGCATGGAGGCAAAATTTGTGTTGTGGTTTGTTAAATACAAAATCTTGATTAAATCTAATGAATACTTATTTAAAGAAAAAAAAATCCCTATATGTGACACCCAGCATCTCATTAGAAATCATTCTAATGTGCTTCATCTTTTATGGCTTTGTCAGTATACTATTTATTTTTTTATCTATCTATCTATCTATCTATCTCTCTCTCTCTCTCTCTCTCTGTGTGTACATTGCATGATAAGAATGTGCACACACACATTTGTATATTATAGTTCCTTTTGAAAAAGGTTGTATGCTTTCTGTATGTTTATTCTGTATTTAATAGTATTGAACGTACTCGTTACTTTTTCTTTGTGGAAAAAAAATCTAGTTCTGACCATGGACTCGAAGTAAAATAAAGTTGCTTTTTTTTGTATGAACATCGACCGTAAAGCGATCTGAGCTGTCGCAATCTACAGTCGTAGTGGCAACAATCGCCATGACAACCAGCAACAACAACAGCACACGTGAAGCAGCAATGGCGACCGCCAGTGAAGAGCGAGCAGCAGCGGATGTTTTAAAATCTCTGGCTCGCCATTTGAACTGTTTAAACGAGGACAACAAAAGCGCCAGAAGACGAGCTCTAGAAGCGGTGAAGAGAGAAACCGTCGAGCAGTGTTTGTCCGGCGGCGCGCTGCAGGAGCTTTTCGGCGGTTTGCTAAAGGCGCTGCTGAAATGTCTGTCAGATCCTGTGGAGACATGCAGGGACACGGCTATTCAGATCATCACGGGCTTTATCAGAGCTGTCCCCAAACCAGAAGACTCTCTGCCCTACCTCATGCCCGCCCTGGCGCAGAGGCTCGGGGGGAAGGAGATCCTGGAGCCGGCGGAGGAGCTCAGGCTGGCTCTGATGGAGATGCTGTCTCTGGTGGTGGAGGTGTGCGGCAGGCAACTGGCCCCCTACCTGGAAGACATGATAAAGATCCTGCAGAGAACCATCACAGATCCCTTTCCTGAAGTCAAGAAAGAGAGCTGTAAATGTGTCATCAGTGTTGCACAGAGTATTCCTGGTAAGTGGGGCCCTCAAGCTGTTGATGTGCTTCAAAAGACAGTTGAGATACAGTATGTATATTAAAAATATATCATAAAGGTCGAGTAATTGGTCAGTTTGTATTCATTATACAGGAGTTAAGTGTCAAATTCAGCTTAGGCAAAGACTTTGGCTTAGATGGGTTGTTGGTTGTCATGGTAACATGGCCAGACTGATGCCCCTGACCAGGGCTTAAATTAACACTTGGCCAAATGAGAGTATTGGCGGGTATATTAATTCTAATAATGCCTGAGATTGTGTTAAGGTTTATGCAACATGTGCCGAACAACTTCCCAAGTTTAGAAATCGGTTTTCAACAAAATAAAAGCATTTTAAAAGAGAGGTTTCACTGCTGTTTTAGATATGTATATATAATAAACACTGGCTGCGAGATACGTGTGGATGTGCCACAGCCTGAGAGACAGCAGGGGAATGTGTGTGTGTGTGTGTGTGTGTGTGTGTGTGTGTGTGTGAGAGAGAGAGAGAGAGAGAGAGACAGCAGGTGAATGTGTGTTGTGTCTGACCTCAGTGTGTTACCCTACTGTCCACCACAGTGATCCAAAGTATTTATGTGTGTTTCTATGTAAGTTAAAGACTGTGGTATCAAATGTTCACATGTTATAATTTGTTACAGTTTAATACTTCTAAGATCAAATGTTCACATGTTATAATTTGTTACAGTTTAATACTTCTAAGATCAAATGTTCACATGTTATAATTTGTTACAGTTTAATACTTCTAAGATCAAATGTTCACATGTTATAATTTGTTACAGTTTAATACTTCTAAGATCAAATGTTCACATGTTATAATTTGTTACAGTTTAATACTTCTAAGATGTTATAATATCCCATTATATTACTGTGATGTTCATTTACTTATTATTATTGTTATTATATTATTATTATTTGTTTTTATCTTTTTGTACATGTGTACTAAGCTTTGGCAATATTGTATCATTTACAGTCATGCCAATAAAGCAATTTTGAATTGAATTGAATATTATCCTTATAGTCAGGGTCTAAAAGTAAAAATTAACTAACATGAGAAAATGTACGGACTGTAAGTATGTCTTGTTGCCATCCATGAAACTGTATGTGCATTATTTCAAAAACAGGTAGAACACATTCATTAATTCATTATTTATTTATTCAATTAAACAATTCAGTAAATAAATCACTATAATACAACTGAGCTGTAAATCATTGCAATATTAAGTGTAACTAATAATAATAATAATAAATTTTAATAACAATACTAAACACATTTTTACTCAGGAGCGTTTTATTTTGTCAGGGGCAACAGTCTGGCCATGTTACCATGACAACCAATAACCCACCTAAGCCCAGTTTGCCACATAAGTCCTGTATAATGAATTCAAACAGATACATTACTTATACTTTATGATCCATATGCATATACACTGCATCTCAACTATCTATTTATCTATCTTTTCCCAGATCATTTCCACCTGCAGGCTGAGAGTCTTCTGAAGCCCCTGCTGCAGACTATTTCTCACCAGCATTCCCAAGTGAGAGTTTCTGTCACACAGGCCGTTGGCACAGTCATTCAGCACAGCGCAGGCAAGAACGTAGATGACGTTTTGTCCCACTTGGCACAGAGATTGTTTGACGACTCTCCACGGGTAAGCAGGCAGCGGCTTAGCTGAAAAATCAATAAATAACAAATAAATAAAAGTAAAGAAAGGTCTTGATTGATGCATTATTTAATAAATGGCTTGTCTTCTTTGGTATCTTTCCAAGAAATTATTCATCTAAATATGAAATATGCTTCCTGTTTTACAAAGCACATTGGTGTTGTTTTTCCCACATGGGAATGCTGAATTGTTGTGCTAATATGTTCAGGTGAGGAAGACCGTTACTGTAGTTGTGGGTGATTGGCTTCTCCGCCTGCCGGACAGATATTCCTACTTCCACAAGCTCATCCCGCTGCTTCTGAGCAGCCTCAGCGATGAGATCCCTGAAATCAGGTGAAAACAAATGCACAGACATGGATTTTAGAATCCTTATAATCCAGGCCTTTTAAAGTCATGAAAACTAGTAAAGTTAATGTAAATGTATAGACTGTCTTTCATAAGTTTGGGTTTGGCTGCATTGACTAGATTAAAAATACAGTAAAAACAGTCATATTGTGAAATATTATTACAATTTACAATATCTGTTTTCTATTTAAATGTATATTTCAAAAGTAATTTATTCCTGTGATTCAAAGCTGAATTTTCAGCATCATTACTCCAGTCTTCAGTGTCACACGATCCTTCAGAAATCATTCTAATCTGCTGCTCAAGAAACATTTCTGATTATTATCAATGTTGAAAATAGTTGTGCTGCTTAATATTTTTGTGGAAACGGTCATATACTTTTTTTCAGGATTCATTGATGAATAGAAAGTTCAAAAGAACAGCGTTTATTTAAAATATGATTTTTTTGTAACGTTATAAATGCCTTCACTGTCACTTTTGATCAATTTACTGCTTGCTGAATAAAATAATTAATTTCTTTGCAAAAAAAAATAAATCTTACTGACCCAAAAGTGTATTTGATGTGTTGTTTGTTTCCTTTTTCTCTTTAGCCATTTCTTATATAAAATGTATGATTTTGTGATTCCAAATAAATTCATTCAGGTCTCTTGCTGAGGACTTATGGAAAAAAGTAGGATCTCAATGGGAGAAGGAAAATGAGGATGATTTGAAGGATAAGATGGACTTTCGGTTGCCTGCTCCTGCCCTCCTCACATCTGGAGGTAGGACAAACTAATAACAGAATGACTCTCTTTCCTAAAAATACATGTTATGGATACTAAATACTGAACATATACATTAGATATCTTAGATATCTCTATATGATATTAGAAACACTAGATGAAACGCTCAAATAACATTTGAGGTACCGTAGACCCTGCTCAGCTATCTTGTTCTAGAATAAAAGCCCCACAGGCCTGATCTAGTTAAGGTTTATTTCATCTCTAAGTGAAACTAGGAAGAAGCTTGTAGGATGACAGATGGTAGCTTTTTTTATTTTTTTTTTCCACTTTTATTGAGAAGAAAGTAGCGAGAGGGCAGAAAGTCAGATAACCTGGATGTGAAAGTATGGTAAGCCAGATGTTTGCATTTTTTAATAACCAACACATCATTGCAAAAGATTTCTATTTCATCTTTCTATTCATCAAGGAGTATTCATTCACAAAATACAAACCCACTTCCAAAAAAGTTGGGACACTGTACAAATTGTAAGTAAAAAAGGAATTGAATAATTTACAAATCTCATAAACTTATATTTTATTCACAATAGAATATAGATAACATATCAAATGTTGAAAGTGAGACATTTTGAAATGTCATGCCAAATATTGGCTCATTTTGGATTTCATGAGAAAAAAAAAGTTGGGACAGGTAGCAATAAGAGGCCGGAAAAGTTAAATGTACAGTGGGTACGGAAAGTATTCAGACCCCCTTAAATTTTTCACTCTTTGTTATATTGCAGCCATTTGCTAAAATAATTTAAGTTAATTTTATTTCCTCATTAATGTACACACAGCACCCCATATTGACAGAAAAACACAGAATTGTTGACATTTTTGCAGATTTATTAAAAAAGAAAAACTGAAATATCACATGGTCCTAAGTATTCAGACCCTTTGCTCAGTATTTAGTAGAAGCAGAGTTTGAAGTTATCATCATCTACAGAGCATAATATCATCCAAAGATTCAGAGAATCTGGAACAATCTCTGTGCGTAAGGGTCA